TGATTTTTTCAACGAGGTCTGTATCTGAATCCTGTATATTGTTGATATTTGTGGTATTTGTTTCAATTCGGTTAACATATTGTAATTTCAGATTTTCTGTTTCTTCAATCTTCATTGTGATTTCCGCTTGCTCTAGTTTGTCTACTAGTTTTCGAAAATCTAAATTGGGCTCTCGAATTGAGGAGGGATGAGATGCTCTCTTTTTTATTGCTATTTTCCTTAATTGAGGTGTTAAGGTCATCATTAAGATTTCTGTCATTTTTGTGTTTTTATAGTCGTGTGTATTTAATGAATATGCTTTTCGAACTAGTGTTTCGATACGTACTGCTAATTGTTTGATGGTTTCATTTGGTAATCTGCGAATTTCATTACATAAAACTCTTTGTTGTTGTTTATTTCTTTCGGAGTCAAACATTTTTGAAAATTCTTGTGTAAATCGTTTCCAATTTGATTTTGTTTCTATAGGCAATACTGAAAAACATTTTTGGGCTGCGCCGTCTAAGGTTGTCTGTATCAACGCTGTGCGCCGATGTATCCAATTTTGATGTAGTGGCGTATTAATTGGTTCAGGTCCTATATTTAAAATTAAATTTGCTGTTACTGCATTTAAACAATCTTCTACAGAATATTCAGGGTCTGTTCCTGTGAATACCATTAATGGTTTGTTTGATGTTATTGATGATCCACCCATAAGGTATGGATTCATTGTCATTTGTAATGATTCTGCGGCATTTGGCATTTGTGAAAAATTTGAAAGTTGATTGCTTGTTATCTCGTGTTGTTGAAGGTAATATGGGAGTGGTATTTCATTTTGCATTTGTGTTGGTTGATACGAGTGTGTATTCATTGGGTTTTGTGGTTGAATTGGTTGAAAAAATTGTGTATTAATCGGGTTTTGCATTTGTATTGGTTGTTGATTTTGTGTATCTATTGGGTGTGGAGAAAAAATTCTATGATTTGTATGTGGTTTCTGTATTCTTTGTCCATGATATTTTTGATTGTATGGTGCAAATATATCTGGTTGTAAATAATCATCATCAGAGGATAGATAATCCGTTTGATGAGGTGCTTGTTTTTTATTTTTATTCTGTTGAAAGAATGGGTAATTTTCACTACGATCCTGTGGAGGATGTGAATTAGTTTGAAAATTTACTGAGTTGGTTGTTGCCATTGGATTATTCCAATATTGAGATCTTATCTGATTATTATTATTTTTTCGTGGGGGATAGTTTGTTTTTGATGAATGTGTGTAATTATAATTGTGATCCGCAAAAGTGTTTCTTGTTCATGTTCTGCGTGTTTTTGACGGTATTGTCATGGGTCTATATGTTTGATAATCTATTTGTGGATATTTTGGAGCAACCGAAGGTTTAACGGTTGATTGTAAGGTTACCTGTGCTAGTGAAGTGTTTGTATTTCTTGGTGTTGTTAAATTTGGGCGTATCGGTGAAATAATTTGTTGTGTAGTTGTTGTTGTTTTGACGATTTCTTCATTTATGAAGTGTGATGGTGTTTGAATATCTTGTTGAGTGAGGTTCCTAGTTCCATTAAGGTTTTCATTGTGTATGACGGTCGAATTTAAACTATTATTTCGCGTATCGGGTAAAAGTGTATTGTAGTTTAATGGTGTTGCATCAATGGATAATGGTATTACTCTTACATAATCTCTTACATAAGATATTGTACTTATTGCCTGACTTGAGATTGATTGTGGGATATTTATGAATGCATAATGACACCATTCGGGGTCCCAAACATAGTCTGATTGTTCTGTGATGGCGGTATCATCGTTTGAACTTTGGGGTCTGAAGTTTTTTCTTGCTTGTGAAATTAAATCTTTATTATGTGTGAAGTAATCTATTATAAACCATGCCAAAATTTTTTGTAAGTCATGTTTTGTATGTTGTGAAACATCATCTTTAGTGAAATTTTCTTTAATTATATTTAGAAAAGATGAGAATAGTGTGATTTCATGTCGTACCTTTATATGTTTGGATGTCTCATTCGGTGAGATATGCGGGATTGGGTTTTCGTTTTCTAATATTGAAATATAACTATATATTATCGCAAAAACTTCATTAGTAAATATGGAATTTGCTCTTTGTGAGTTATGATATTGTATGCTTTTTATATATTCTGAGAATACTTTTGAAAATTCTAAATCAAGATCGTCTGTTTGAATTACATATTTGCGGTGATTCGGGTTTGGTGAGCTGAATTCGATGGTGTAGATTCCGTATTGTTGTGTTAAGTTACATATATCTTTCAGATAGTGATCAATAATTTGTCTTTTTATTTTTACATCTGGGAACTCTGTTTTACATGGGCTAATTCCGGGTTCAAACAAATTTAAGAGAAAATTCTTGCAAAGATCATGCTGTCCTCTATTATCGGGTGCATCTACGAGGAAGGGGTAGATATCGTCATCGTCTGGACTATCTTCACTTGGAGTGTGTGTTTGGCTCATTTTTTCGTTTAATGACTGTTAATAGGTAATTATCGATGTGTCTAATTGGTTGATTCCAATTATACAAGTGTACTGGTTTGTGTTTATATTGCTTTTTTATTCTTCTTTTTCCTCTTTTTGATGAATTTGAAGTTGTTTCTGAGTCGGAAAAATATAATTGATCGTGAATGGGGCAATTTTTATCTATAGACTCTTTTAATTTATAAAGTTCGTCTAAATTACTGACTTCTGATTCTGAAAATGCGTTTCTATTTTCGGAAAATCTTTTTCGTGTTACTTGTCTTTGTTTAGTTATTATTTTCCTTTTTAGTGTTTGTCGTTTTGTTCTGATATATCCAACTGTTTGTGTGTGAGGTGTGATTACAAGGTCGTATTTTTTGTTATCTATTTCACAGTTGTGCAAAACGATTGTTTGTTTGTTTCCTAGATTTTTAAATGACATAAGGTTTAGGATGACGGATGCAAAAAGTTGTTAGATGATTTCTATTTTCTTAAATTGTTAGTCCTTACGATTTTTTGGTTAGCTTAACCTGGGTCTATTTGTTCAGGGTTGGAGAGAAAAGTATATCGATTCCGAAGAATGTTTTTTTACTTTCTTGTGGCTAGTATAAGCTAAGGTGTTAACTTACTTAATCTTACTTAGGGGTAGTGATTGTGATCAAGGGTTGGAGAATAGTAAATCGATCCACAAGGTTCAGGTATAATTAGAACGCGAGTAGTTCGTTAGATACTATTTTAAACTTACTAAGTCTAAGATTTATCCTGGGTCTGGTAAGAGGAGGGTTCAAGTGAAGGATGAATAACCGAAGTTCTTCACTGTTTATCCTAATTTGAATGGTTAGTTTTGTTCAAAAATTTCTATTAGTCTTGGGTTTTTTTTGAAAGGGTTGGATAGTGAATCGACGTTTGAGGTCGTTAGACACTAGCTAAGTGGGTGGGGGAGAACAAAATTGTTCTTTTTGATCCAAGGATAAGCCTTGATGATCAAGTTTTAAATTTAATTAAATACAAAATTAATTAAGATCCAAGGATAAGCCTTGATGATCTGATTTTAAAATTAAGTGAATTTAAGTTTAAAATGGTTTAAATTTATTTAAGAAAAAGATTTAGTGTTTTAATGATATTAGTGAGCTTATGATTGCTGTTATGTTTTAGGTGATGAAGCTGGGACAACTGATGATTTTATGATTACTAACAATTTATTGTCATGCTACTAATTTTTGTTTTGATTTTCAATAAATATTTTTCAAACATGTTTTATATCATACTGCAGAATTTTAGGAAAACGATCTGAGATCTTTTTATCAATCGTTATTGTATATTAATAGTTTTGTTTAGCGCCTGAAATGATTATGAAGATTGACTTCAAGATTTTATGTTTGTAAATGAAAATCTAAATTCATTGCTAATAAAATTCTAAATATAAAAGTTTGTGTTGGCTTTTGCCGTACTATCATATAACTATTTGGTAAGTTTCTACTTTGTCGTATGTCGTCTCTGGTTCGAGATCTTCTTCCAATTCCGGGTAGTTCTGTTATCGTTCGGAATATTGGCTTTGATCTATTGAGTCGTAGAGACATTTCGATTAAATTATCGTCGTGTAACATTTTTAAAAATGTTTTGTCTAAATTCTAATCTATTTTTGGTTAATTCTAAGCTATTAAGGTCTTGTTCGAGACTTATGGTCGCACCAGATGAGTTAAGACCGTTGTGGTTAACTCATAGAGTAATTTCGGATAGGGTACACCGTCTGCTCGTCACGCTATCTTATTTTCGGCCGGATAGATTCGTGCAACTTCTTAGTCTAATACCGATCCTAATCTTACTCTTATACTATCTAGTCTCTGGTTGTTTAACTAGTCTCTGCTAGGCTCAATAGATCTAGGGTATACTGGTTTATTGCGGCTGCTGAAGTTCTCTTGGAGAGGCAACTAATTTCTAAGTTAAATTCAAATCTCTCTGGTGCTGAAATTACAAGTAATTTCAGCACTTACAAATAAGTGGGTTGTTAGTTAGATGGATCATGATTGGTTAATATTAAATACTTTACAGTGGTAAAATATCTAATTTATCCAATCATAAAATGTAGTTTAGATCAGGTTCCAGGAGGATTGGACCCCTTGACCATTAAACGGTTCTTCCCTTTGGTAATACACTTTTGGCCAGCGAACCCTATACATTTTCTTAAGGTGTCTTTGCACTCATAAACAGTAATTTTGAAGTGAAAGAACGCGCCGAGAAAACGCAACTTTGTGATCAAAAATTCCCAAATCTTTTCCCAAAACCTTCGAAAAATGTTAATGTTTGGAGCTTCTCTGAAAATTGTGAGCAAGGCTTCGTTCGACCCAACTCACGAATACACAAACACCACTGTGTATAATGGCGCCATGAAAAAGGTAGTGCCAACCGGACACCTTTGTCGGTTAAAAAGATCCAACTGGGATTCATTTTGAACAGCTTCCTATCTATAGAAAAGAGCAAAATAGAAGCAACGTTTGGGGCTCCATTTGTAAATAGTATGAAGTGAACTGACTTGGCCGAATGCCCACTTCTTGGGGTATGGCCAGAAGGCACTTCCGGAGTAGATGAGGCCACTCTCGTTCATCACGTACTCCTCCCTCTCCTTCTCATTGGCCAAGAACACATCGTCAGCTAAACCAACACAACAGCTTATCATCCATAACCCTCCCTCCTCTCTCAGCCAAGTCAAAAGATTAACATTCAAAATATGTGCATTTTTAATTGAGCCTCAAAATGTCGTCCTTCCACAAAGTACATTTCAGCCAACTTTCAACTGTTTTCTAAATTTGTTACAAAGCTATTTAACTAACTATATAATACGCGTTCTTCACACAAAATAAAATTCTTGCAGTTTTCTTGGAGGAGTAGACGCCCCTAAGTTGACGCCACATCGAAAGGAGCCAAGTATTCTAACAGTACTTAAGCCAAGTCCTGGTTTTCATGCAGAGAGAAAAGATTCAGTTTAAGGAAATTTCCAAAGTTTCACGAAAATCATACACCGTCGATAGGTGAAGGACATTTATTTCACGTCGTTCATGGAATTTATCATTTCAAATAAAATGAAAAATGCTGCTCTTTTTTTGAGATCTATGAAAACATCAAAAATTTTTGTGAGAATTAGAAACAACGAATTTGATATGCAGCTACCTTTGTTCCATGGGTTGAATATGACGTACAGATCTTCTCTGCTTTTCTTGGAGTCCAACTTTTTGCCCGCTTTATCCACCAGCACAGCCTTCAAGCTCCACCCGGACACCACAGCATTATTGGGCGGCAACACTTGCAACTAAAACAGGGAGCAACTATCGTTTCGATCTAGCCCAACGCTCAAGGTAAATGCCAAATATGGCCAAAAATAAAAAGGAAGAGCGCCTCAATGAACTCAAAAGATGACGGGTACTAAAAATTGCATCCGACAAACTGAAAACTGCAGCTTTTTGCTTCTTTTGCCCGCAGTCTAGTAACAAAAAGTTACTAGCTTCATCGCTCACTTGCAAAATAGTCACACTGAATGTTGCAACGCGCGAAAGTTAATTCTTTCATTGAATATGCATCAAAAGTTAAATATGATTAAAATTTATTCTAAGCGCAACCCATGAATCGTTTGATCACATACTGTGACGGTAGAGGAGCTGGAGGTGGAGTCCAAGATGCGATACTGCCATTCCTCCAAGGACCCGCCATCGTCTGGGAACTGGTCCACCGGCGAGTCCAGCGACACTCGAAGTCCATTGGGACCACCTCGCACATCACCTGAACGAAAACGTTTTATTCTAAGCTCTCTCTCTCTCTCTCTCTCTCTCTCTCTCTCTCTCTCTTCTCTCTCTCTCTCTCTCTCTCTCTCTTCCCTC